CGTCTGCTGGGTGCCCTTCGGCTCGCAGGAGAGCTTCGAGAGCCACTGCTCCTCCGTTGAGCACGCGCAGATGCTCTCGGCCGACACCTCTGTCCAGTGGGCGTACCGCGCACCGCCTCTCGGGGTGACCAAGTTCTCGCTGTGCAGAAGGTAAGGCGGGGAAGGGGGCAGGGGCGGCTGCCGGCTCCCTGCGGACCCCCAGGTCACCAGGCGTGGGTGGCACCCGGGACACCTCTCTCCCAACAGAGCGGACGTGTGCGAAATGGGGAGCAGCTGCACCAAGGCTCATTCCGCCGAGGAGCTGCAGGAGTGGATCCAGAGGGTGAAGGTTGCCATGAAGAAAAAGAAGCAAGCGCTGAAGGAAGGGCTCTTGTCCTACCAGGACCGGCTCATGGCCGAGTATGGGACGTGCTCCAACGAGGTGTTGATTGTGAGTCATGGGCGGCAGGGTGGGAGCGCGTTGGCCCGGCACGTTGCCAGAAGCCTCTTGTGTGGGAGCTTGGGAATGGAGCCCACCGCTCACCTTTCCAACGGTGATGCCCAGGGGGATGTTGCATCCCTTTTCATCGCCCCTTTCAAGATAGCAACCCAGGAGCCTGCGCAGGGTACCCGGCCACGCTGCTCTGCCGTGGGTCCTTTCGTTCCCCGAGGCTGCTGCGTGGGGACGCCGAGCAGCAGCGGGCAAGGACTGAGCATGGGGATTTACTGACGTCCCCTCTTGGGAGGACTTAGCGTAAAGGTGGGGGGGGAGATGGCCCCGCAGAGGGCTCTGCAGAGGGACCTGGCCAGGCTGGATCCATGGGCCCAGCCCAGTTGGGTGAGGGTCAACAAGGCCAAGGGCCAGGTCCTGCACTTGGGTCACAACAACCCCACGCAGCGCTCCAGGCGTGGGGCAGAGGGGCTGGAAAGCTGCGACAACTCCTGGCCTTATGTATATTGGCGCTAGAAGGCAGACAACGTCTTCAAAAGAGGGCTTACAGGCAGTATTATTGAAAAAATAATCAATGGAAATGTGTGGCCTGTGTTTCTAGGGCGCTTGTCAACACCATGATTTGAGGCACAGACTGGGAAAGCAGAGCTCTGGCTCTGCTCTCTGATTGTAAGAAATGTCACATATTTGTTTATCGATCTGTTACAGTCAGAGCTGAGACAAACCACTTTGTAGGCAAAAGAAAGACCAGCTTCCAGAATATAAAAACAGTGTGAGTTTTCAGTGGTGGGGTTTTTTTGTTTTGGTTTTTTTTTAGGTAAAACCATTCAATTTGACAATGAAGTTTAAGTTAAGTTAGTTACTCATCAAAGACGTACTTTCTAGAGCATTCAAGAAGTCTGCTCTGGAAAACAACACAGACAATGATGTAACACATGGAAATACAATTTAAAAAAAGTATTATCCTATTTCAGAAGAAAGTGGGCTAGGTTTGGTGAGGCTGTACAGAAGATGACACAGTGCAGAATGTCATGAAGGTCACCGCCTGTTAGGTAGCAAGGGCATTGCACATCAAGCTCGTATGACCAATTTAGATCAGAATTTCCTGTGTTTAGCAGCATACGCTTCAGAGGTAACAGCATAGTAATGTCTGTGTTATGATTTGATGTGCCTCACAGAGGACAAGACACTCACAAGGCCGTTGAAAAATATGAGAGATAAGACCTTATGTTGATTCATCTGAACCTTCTCCTTTGAGGCTTTTTGTTTGAGTTTTTTTAATTATCATTTCTGCCAGGGGCAGGAGGGCAGGGATTTGGGGATGCCTGAAGGAGGGCACGTGTTGGGTATTTGGGAGCCTGAGCTGGGGCTGCGCAGGAGGGGTGCAGCCACGGTGTCTCCTGTCAGTTGGTGCAGTGGGGCTGGGGTGGAGCCGGCCGCTCTCAGCACCTCCCACCGATCATCACAAATAACAAGATTCTGCTGCTTTCCTCCCCAGGATTTCATGGGTGTTGGAGGCAAGAGGCCGGGTCTAATTGTCCTCTCCAGCATAGATGTCCCATTTACAGCAGACCGGCTCAAGTGCTATAAAACCAAAAGGGTTCTTTAAGAGCTTAAAGTAATCGCTGTGGGGTTGCATGAAGAATAAGCTCCTTCATAAGGAGAATTTCAAGTGCGCCGTAGGTCCAGTGCGACATTTGGTTCCCGCAGCAGCTTTTGGTAGGAAATGCTGCTGGGAGGACCCCGTCAGTCGCTGGGAAATTCCCGTGGGCCACCCTCACCGTCTCCCTGTCTTCTCCTCAACCGGCAGATGCCTCTGCAGCACGTGGCGCTGCTGAAGCGGGAACCTGGAGTCAACTTCTACCTCTCGGGGAACGGGCTTGCCCGGGGCCTCCACTACCTTCGGGGGGAGCATGTGGCCGTCGTGTCTTCCTCCCCACCCACCGCGCTGGTGGAGGTCTGCATGGAGTGCTGCACGCTGGGCGTCTTCGAGCAGTGGGTGGTGTTCGACTTCGGCAGACGCCCCGTCCTCGTGCAGAAGATCAAGGTGAAGGTGGGCCGGCAGGAGACCCCCCAGCACGTCCCCGGCAGCAGGGAGAGCAGCCACCTCGTTGACTTCGTGCGATGGGATAGAGGAAACCGGATCATCGTTCCCAGCGTGCCAAGGACCAGTGAAGATGTGGATCTGCTGGCCAAGTACAAACCTCCTGCTCTCGCGCTGGACTACCAGCGCGAGGGTGGCACGACCATTCCCATCACCCGTCTCAACTATCGTGAGAGGATGCACAGCTTCCTCTTCCGCGAGGAAGAAGCCGAACAGGCTCTGATTGCCAAGTAAGTGCCAGGCGTGGGCCCAGAGGGGGTTCCTCCTCGCTAGGGACCACGGGCCCATTGCTAACCCTGCCCCTGGGGCCGTGCCGCTATTGAAGTCTCCTCCATCTCTTCCGGGTTGGGTCCTGGGGCACCTTCCCAGAAAAATGGAGACCTGCCAAGAAAGATGGCTTGCTGGGTAGAGATAGGAGGGGAAGGACTGGCTCTTGTCCTGCGGCCGTGGATTAGCTAGAAGCACGGCTCGTGTGCCTCTGTGTGCTGCGGGGGCTGGTGGACCCTGGGGTGTAGGTGGCGATCCCCCCTCTGCAGCGGGGAGGGCGCTTGCTGATGAACCAATGGGCCCGTTCGCTGCTGTTCATTTGGGTGTTCCCCCCTTTCAGACTCAACCTGCAGGTCGTCATCTCGCTGACCCCCATGCTGCAAACCCTCTCTGTGGGGATGAAGGTTGCCCTGCCCGGTGAGCTGTTTGCTCAAGTGCCTACCCCTTACAACCTCTCACCGGACACAGACGAGGGGTATCTGCTGAGCAGGTCTGTGCCCACTGCTTTCCTGGCGCTCGACCCACCTGTAGACAATCGGGTTTACGAGGTTAGCGTGGAGCATAAAGCCACCACGGAGAAGACCATCTGGCTACAGATACCAAAGAGATGCTGCTCAGAGCTGAACTTCAACCCAAACACCTCCTGCAAGGTGGAGATCCAGTTCCAAATTGACCAGCTGCTGTTCCGGAGGTGGCACCAGGCTGTGGACTGCCTGCTGGATGAGAAGCTGGTCCTACCAGATGTTGCCAGTTGCTCTGTCCCCTACTCTCTTGGGTCACCACAGAAAGGGAATAGCAAGCAGAAGCTAGCCATCTCCTTCATCACGGGCCGGACAACCAGCAGCCGGCAGGTCCCACCTCTTCTCATCTACGGGCCTTTCGGCACAGGGAAGACGTTCACCTTGGCCATGGCCACCATGGAGATCCTCAGGCAGCCGGACACGCGGGTGCTGATCTGCACTCACACCAACAGGTTAGCAGGGGGCGAGGGAAGAGGCCACCCGAGTCATAGGCTGAGTCCTTGCACTGGCCCATCGCGTCCCATGTGGGGTGAGCAGGAGCTGGGGTGTATGGGAAGGAGCTGAGCTGCCCTTTCCTTACGACACATTTCAATTACTTGTTTAAATAAATTCATTTTTATTTAATGCGTCATAGTCTGCTCTAGCACTGCCTGCTGGGGAGAAGCCTGGCATGGGTGGAAGTCTTTGCAGAAGAGGCAGCGTATTCCTGCCTCATTGGAGGTTAGGTCTTTCTAGCCTTTACTGTGTGCTGGAAGAAGTGGAAAGCCATTGCCCGGCCTCCCGGGGCTGATATTATGCTCTACTCACCCTCGGAGACCATTGCGCTCTGTGCGCATGCCCATTTTTTTACTTTTCCAGGGAGAGTTTGGGGCAGAGGCAATGCAGATTTGGCCTGACTGCTGTTGAATCTGCCTCCGGAGAAACCAGGCCAAGACTTAAAATTAGAGCAGTTATGCCAAAAAGTGTGTCCACATCTGATCCCGCAGGCTGTTACTGCCTTAGTTTTTCATGTATAATAGATGGGTGACTGCTAATCTTAGCCTGCTTCAGGCTCTCTGGTTGTGTTGAAGCTTTCTCTGCTGATCTTGCATCGCCCGCCGGGCTGGGCACGGTTAACTGTCAGAGGAGCGGCGCGCCGGGTTGCGCCCGTGTGACTTGGGCTAGAGAGGAGCAGGGCCACGGATTTTGTTGGGCCCGTTGCATTTCTCCATACCAGCATCGAGAGATGCCCTAGTCTCGCCTATCATAGTCCTATTTTAAACCAGGCTCTCAAAATAGTCTTGGAATTGGTGGCTGCGTAGACACCGGCTCCTTTGCGCAGGCGTGAATGTCTCCTGTGACGCGTGCGTTGTCAGCCAGCGCTGGGGGGGGGGATTTCGGGTGCGTGTTGGTGAACGATCAGATAGCGCATTGGGGTGGTGGTCACAGCTTTGGGAACAGCACTTCCCAATTCCATGATGATTTCCCCTTTTGTTCCCCCGCAGCGCTGCTGACATCTACATCCGGGAGTATTTCCATAACTACGTGACCAACGGGCATCCATGGGCTGTTCCCTTGAGGATTATATCCACTGACCGTCCCATCAACCTGACAGACCCCATCACTCAGGTGTACTGCTGCCTCTCGCCAGACCAGCACTCCTTCCGGCACCCCACGCAGGAGGAGATCAACAGGCACCGCATCATTATCACCACCTCCATGTTATCCAAGAACCTGAAGGTTGCCCGAGGCTACTTCACCCACATCATGATCGACGAGGCTGCTCAGATGCTGGAGTGTGAAGCTTTGATCCCGCTCTCCTACGCCACTTTGGAGACCCGGATTGTCCTTGCTGGGGACCACATGCAGATAACCCCAAAGCTGTTCTGTGTTGGGGACGGACAATCTGCTGATCACACCCTGCTGCACCGACTCTTTCAGTTTTACCAGAAGGAGAGGCACGAAGTGGCCCTGAAGAGCAGGATCATCTTCAATGAGAATTATCGTTCCACCGCAGGCATAATTGAGTTTGTCTCCAAGCACTTCTACATTGGCAAAGGCAATGCTATCCAAGCCAGCGGGAACATCCCACCCCACCCCGACATCTACCCTCTCATGTTCTGCCACGTGTCCGGTGTGGCTGAAAGGGATATGTCCATGATTTCGTGGCACAACGCTTCCGAGATAATACAAGTGGTTGAGAAGGTGAAGGAGATCTACCAGAGGTGGCCACATGAGTGGGGTGTCCGAGATCTAAAGAGGATCTGTGTGGTCTCCCATGGGATGCAGGTATGGAGGAGACCCACGTGTTCCCCACCTGAAGGGCGTATGCGTGCACCGCTGACTGCGCTCTAAATGCTCCCTAATAAATGCTGGGCTCGATTTACCATAAACCCAACTGTTGTGCTAGCACAAATGGGGCATCTGGCGTCTCGCATGCCACCGGTGTTCTTTCGAGGTGCTCTCCACTTGGGTAGCATATCATGGGTGGTCAGAGCAGAGATGCCTCGTGGTGGGGTGGTTTAGTTGAAGATTTCCTTCAGCATCCTCTAGGCTGAAGTCCATTCCGTACGCACGATGGCTGTCGCGTAACTCGCCCGCAGCCGAGAAGCGTAAGGGACCTTGGTGTTGCCTGGGGGGCGTTTCTGAGCCGAAACTGTATTCAGTTGCGCCTCTTTCTCTCTTACCAGGTTTCTGCGACAAGACAAGAGCTGAGAAAGAAGCAGCTACAAGATGTGGTGGTGGAAAACTATGAAAACTTGCCAGGTTTGTGTCTCGTGCGGTACTCAGTCATGCCTGGCTGCGTTTTGCCGTCTTCTGCGTGCTAGGGAGAACTTTTGCAGTCATGAGGGGAGCCCTTATCACCCTCTACAACTGCCTGAAAGGAGGGGGTAGCGGGGTGGGGGTCGGCCTCTTCTCCCTGGTAACGGGCGATAGGACAAGGGGGAATGGTTTGAAGTTGTGCCAGGGCAGGGTTAGGTTGGACATTGGGAAAAATTTCTTCACAGAAAGGGCTGTCAGGCTCTGGAATGGGCTGCCCAGGGAGGTGGTTGAGTCTCCATCCCTGGGGGGATTTAAAAGAAGGATAGATGAGGTGCTTGGGGACAGGGTTTAGTGGTGGGATGGCAGGGTTAGGGGAACTGTTGGGCTTGGTGATCTTAAAGGGCTTTTCCAACCTAGGAGATTCTATGATTCTGTCTTGGTGGACAGGAGAGTCTACCCCAGCTACAGCCACTGTGTAACGAGCAGGGAGAAGAGACGCTGGGTCGTTAGCCGAGGTCTTTCTGGCGTCTGAACATTGTCCTCCTTGCTAAGATGCAAACCGCCGGCTGATCTCCTGGCAAAACCCCTCTCTGGGAGGGTGCATGCGGTGCTGTTCGGCAGCGCTCCCCTGCCCTTCCCCGTGGCTCTACTGCCACGGCGGCAAGGAGCCGCAGCCCACGCAGCGCTGGTTAGGAGGGAGCGCCTGGAAATCCTTTGGCTGATTTCCATCCCCTTCTGGTTGGCGATTCTTTCGTTCCGTCCTTTCCTTAGCGAATAGGATGTCACATTGAATTAAAGCTGCACCCAACTGCCAGCCCGTTTCGAGCACAGGGACGTTGCTTTGTAGGAGGGTGATCCTGGGGACCTGAGCGTGTGTGAATCACGCAAAGCCCCCAGTACCAGCGGGGGCAGCTCCTGATAGAAGGGAATCAAACCCAGGATGGCCCGTGGGTACCAGCTGCCGCCAAAATCGCAGAACAGCTCGCTAAAGGAGGAAAGGAGGAGTCCTCTGCTATGGATGACGAGAGAGGGATAGGGCTGGTTTTGTCCTCCAGGATTTAGTTTGTGACTCATCCCTGGGTTTATTATTTATATTTATTTATTTATTTATTTTTATTGTGCAGCTGGGACTCCTCGTGGTGAGAATAACTGACCCCTGGGGTGCGTTTCTGATCTCCGCGCCCTTTTTTTGCGGTCTCTTCTCAGCTCTGAAATCACCAGGGTGCCTCTTGCTGTTCGTTATTTGTCGTGCGATCAGCCAGCAGAGCTGTCCTGGAGGGGAGAGGGCTTCTTGTGCACGGTCACTGCTCTTGTGAGGGTCGCTGCAAGACCCTCGGTTCCCTGAGGAATTTGGGATTCACAAAAAACTCTACCGGTGTTCGCGGGGCTGCTCCACGGGTGCTTGTGGCTGCACTGGTCCGGTGCCACTGCCCTTCCCTCCCTGGCATGTGGGTGGGGGTGGCCTCCTGGTGTCCATCCCCCTTCATGCCTGGAGGCCCTTGCAATCCCCAAGAGCTGCTTTAATTCGCATCAGGTGACTCCCATGACTCAGCCAAGCGAGGTGACGTCAGCCCATGGCCACGTAACACAGCGTAGATGGGCAGAGCGTGGGGTCGCAGCCAGACACGGTCTTCCCCGTTGGGTTCCTGTGAGTGACTTCTTCCTTGTCCCCTCTGGTGCAGGGCGGGAGTTCCGGGTCATCATCATCAGCACAGTCCACACCAGCAAGAGCCTGAGCATCTCGGCCTCCCACCACCTTGAGTTCTTCAATGAAGCCAGAGTGCTCAACACCATCATGACCCGGGCTCAGTCGTTGGTTGTTGCAGTGGGGGATGCCGTGGCCTTGTGCTCCCACGGCCAGTGCAGCAAGGTATGGAAGCGCTTCATCCAGCAGTGCATTGAGAAGGGCAGCGTCTTCCCAGAGAACCTGACGATGGCCCAGATCAAACAGGCTGCGTGCGACAAGGAGAGCTGGAGCAGGAGGAGCCCAGAGGGGGATGAGGAGGACAGCGACACGGATTCCTGGAGCTCCGAGGCTGAGAGCGTGAATCCTGACGATCCCATCCTCCAGGAGCTCCTAGATGAGAGCAAGAACGTGCTGGTGACGGTGTCCGAAGAAGGGCTGCTGAACGTGAAGTCTGAGGCTTCGAACCTGTGGGAAAGCAGGCAGGAATACTTCAGCTTCTCTCCTCAGGTGATGCAGGAGTATCTGCACATGCACCCCAGAATGTACAAGAGGTGCGAGCTGATCAAAGAACGGTTCGACAGAGCTTCTGCCTTCACCCTCAATGACTCCCCTGCGATGACCATTCAGATCAAAGGCAGAGTTCACTGCGGGACGGCCTTCACCGGGGACGAGGTTCTGGTGGAGATCTTGCAGAGCAGCATGGCTGACAGTGGCAGCCACCACCCTCAGGGGAAGGTGGTGGGCATCTTAAAGCGTGCAGAGAGAGAACGGACCTTCATCTGCATGATGGACGAATTTGATCCCCGGGTGATGATACCCATCGATTCCACTGTCACCAAAATATTTGTCCCGGGGCTGAAAGAGAAACCCAACGTCATTCCTATCCGCAGGCGTGTCAACGGGAAGTACAGAGTGGTCAGCTGTGAGAAGATCAGCCAGGAGATGAGGAGATGCCAGTTCTTCTGCGTCCAGGTTATCTCCTGGCGGGAAGGGTTTTACTATCCTTTGGGGATAATAACAGAGATTCTGCATGCAGCCTTGACTTTGGAAGAAGGCTTAAAGATCCTTGACTTGGAGTATGGTTTGGATAAGAAGTACCCAGCCGCTGTCACCAAGGAGTCGGCCAAATACACCTCCGGCAGCAAACTAAACCTCACTGAGGGAAAACTGAAGGACTGTCGGAGCTACCCGACCTTCACTGTCGACCCCCAAGGCGCCAGGGATTTGGACGACGCTATCAGCGTCAGGGATCTTGGGCATCACTATGAGATTGGCATCCACATTGCAGACGTGGCTGGCATGATTCCCAAAGGCAGCGCCTTGGACCTGGAAGCAAAGAAGCGGGGTGTCACCTACTACGTTCCCAACCAGGAGCCGCGGTGCATGTTTCCACCCTACATTAGCCAAGACGTCTGCAGCCTCCTGCCACAGGAAGACCGTCGGGTGATCTCCTTGTTTGTCACCATAGAAAAGGAGACTGATGAGATGATAAAGGAAGTCTTCACCATCTCTGTGATCCGCTCGGACAGACAGCTGTCCTATGAAGAGGCGGAGGTCTGCATTAAGGACCGCTACAGGGGACCGACAGCAGCCCTTTGTTTCGATACCCTGGAGGACTGCATAGCTGTGGCGTATCACTTCTCCAGGATCCATCGGAAGTCTCGGCTGCAGGATGACCGTTTCTATGACCAGCTGGACGAGGAAAGCTCCCCAGGTAACAGGGGGTCCCATCAGATGATAGGGGAGTTAATGATCATGTTCAACAGTTTCGTGGCAGAGTTCCTCACCAACCAGGAGGACACCAGAAATGTGACTCCTCTCCGGTGTCAGTGCGAGCCAAACCCTCAGCAGTTAGCAGCCATGAAAAACAAGTACAGCCACATCCTTCCTTTGTCCATCCATCTCTCACACCACCTGGGAGAGGTGCCTCCTGGCCAAGATTCCTCTAAAAATGTGGAGTTCAGCATCTTGGCCCCCATCTGGAAGCACCTGCAGTCAGCTGCTAATGCCCGTGACTTCCAGAAGATGCTAGATCTTATTGTTACTGATGAGATCCACCCGAAGCTGGCCCCCTTGGCCCTGGAGTTCAGGGCACTGCTTGGCCGCTCCTATTTCAGTTGCTCCAACTCCACCATCCATTCAAAAGTGGGCCATTACTCCCTGGGTGTTGACTCATACACCTGGGCTTCCTCTCCCATCCGCCGTTACGTGGATGTCGTGGTCCAGCGGCACCTTCATTCAGTGCTCCGCAAGAAGCCCATCGTCTATTCTTCAGACGACATTGAGTTTCTCTGTCTTGACTTCAACAAGAAGAATTCCCAGTTGGTGACATACGAGAAGAGAACCCGCTGCCTGCAGATGGCCACCCAGCTGAAGGCCCAAGTCCTGCAGAAGGTCGCCTTCATAGTGGCTATTGGAGGGGCAGACAAGTATTTTAAAGCCCTGTTTCCACTGAACAAAAAGAGTCTTCTGGATCCCCAGGTAATCAACTACAAGTATCTTCAGCTGACAGAGCAGCCCACGGTCATTCAGCAGCGGAACAGTGTCAAGCTGATGTGGAAGAGGAGGGTGTACTCTGTGGAGAAGATGAAGGAGCACGGCCTGCGGGAAGGGCCTCTCTGTGACCGCAGCGTCACCCTCTTCAGCCCCCAGACTTGGGAAAAAGTGCTCGCAGCGGTCAAGAGAGAGGAGTTTGAGACCGCGGCCTCCCTCCTTCGGAAGAACAAGGAGCTGTGCCAGCGGCCCATGGGCTGGGTAAGGAAGAGCCAGTGCTCGCACTACGTCGAGCTCTCCCTGGAGCTGAGCCCCGGCGACACGCTGCAGCTCCAGCTCACCACGGACGTCTACCGGGGCTTCCTGGTGCCCTTCGTGCAGCTGTGGTGCGTGGCGCCGGGTTTCGACATCTGCCTGCAGCACACGGAAAAGCCCATCGATTGCTTCTCTGCCTATGCCACCCTGCCGTCCAAAGACAAGTACAAGCACACAATGGAGTACAACAAGGTGTGGATGCCGATGAGCGCCATGGAGTCCGCTTCCTGCGCGGTGGCTGAAAACGACTCGATTGTCCTCCATGATGTCAAAATAACCTGGGCAAAGCAAAGGACAAGCAAAGGGCAGCTGCAAGGGAGTTTCCCCCTAAGCAAAAAATTTTTGGAGGAGTGCTCCATTGAAGTGGACTTCAACTTCTGTTACTTGTGCATTCGCTTAGGTGGGCTCAAGCTTGGGAGCCTTCAAAGCGATGAGGAATGCCTGAGCCATGGCCTCCAGAATCTGAGTTTGGACAAGGGCAGGTCAGAAAGCAAACTTGTGATTGATCCAGATACCTACACCTGGGTGGCTCACGGGGTCACTGAAGAGTTCAGTGACGATGAGAAGTCAGACAGGACTAGTGAGCAGACCACGAACTTCTACATCCACTATATGTCTATGGAGAACATCCCCGCGGAAATCTTGCAGGCCTCTGCCAGGTTCACAGTGGAGCTCATACCAAAGTTGCTGCCAGACATGTAAGTGTGCTTAGTGGTTGTGCTGTGGTTAACCTGTCCACGCAGCACAGTGGCTTTCCTCGGGGTTCCTTTGGGATTTGCTCACTGGGAAGGCTGATCCCCTGAAAACCTGTCTCTGCCCAGCTCCGACTGGCTGTGCTGTTGGGGCTGTTGATGTTTGGTGGGGGTGGCAGCGTTTCTCAGATCCATTCTCCACGTGGCCTTTCGCTCTTCTGGTTGACCTTGAGAATGGAGAGATAGGGCAAGGTGCCGTGCTGAAATTCCCCTGGGCTTCTCTTTCTTATGTTACCGGGTGGTGCAATATGTGCCATTAAAGGCAGCGTGAAGCACTGGATCGGGGTTTGCTTAGCAGAAGCACTCCCTGATTTCCCAATCGTTCCCCTTTTCTGTTGCTGTGAAGCAGAGCTGAGGTCTCGTTTTGCCCTTCTTTGTACGCGGCGTGGACTGCTACGCACCCACGACTGCTGTGGCTTTTGCAGGGCAGAACGTCCTTCCTTTTGTATCGTGAATTTTAGGAAAAAACCTGAAAGCTAATCCAAGAAAATGGGGTGGGCCATAATAAAGTGGCGTTGGGACAGAAGTTGTGCTCCTTGCTCTCAATGTGCTTGCAGGCTCAGCAATTCAGACAGCCGAGAAATAGTCCCAGATGCAAAAGAGCAGAATAACAGTTGTTTTGGTTTAAGTTTTTTGGGGAAGGGTTTAATACAATGCCAAAGCAGAGAGAAAGAACACACAAGACAGTCGCAGAGAGCTGTATTACAGCTTTCACAGTTTTGGGCTCCGCATACGTTCCCTTCATTCTTACTTTCCCTGTCTGGCAGACGGAAAGAAAAGGCAATTTGGAAGCTGAAGTACGCCTCCGATCTGGCTAAAAGCATCGCCCTCGGCCATGAACCGCCTAAGAAAGGTAGGTGCAAATAGTCACCTTTCTTACCTTGTGGCCACTTGCTTCTGGCCCTGGCAGCTTCCGTGGACCCTTGCCATGAGGGTTACGCTCCCAGCCCAGGCGGTTCCCCTGCCCAAGAGGAGGACGGGAGCTGCTAGCCTGGCAGAGTGAAGGTAATACGGGATGTCCTGCTGGAGAGTGGCACGGGCAGTGTTTTAATCCCCAGGATTCCCAGAGAAGGCTGATGGGCAGAACATCTTGGTACGGGACTGGGATTACTTTTAGGTGGTCTTGTAAACGGGCTTGGTACCGGCTGCATCCTCCTGTTGAATCGCTTGTGTGCCGTCTTCCATAGCCTTCTTTAAACTTGTCCTCTTGGCTCTTTGCATGGCAGTGATAACGTCCAAAATCCTGCAGCAGAAACTCTTTGATCTCCCTGGCAGCCACAGGAAGCTCAACCAGAGTCAGAACCAGGCTGTTCGAAATGCTCTGAGAAAACCCTTCACGCTCATCCAAGGCCCACCAGGTAAGGCTGGGGGGGCAGCATGAGTATGTGCCTGCTTCCTTTTGAAGGGCAGGTTAGAGCTAATCTGTTGCTTTCAGAGAATCGTTTAGGTTTGAAAAGACCTTTAAGATCATCGACTTGTTCCCCTAACCCTGCCATCCCACCACTAAACCCTGGCCCTAAGCACCTCGTCTGCCCGGCTGTTAAATCCCTCCAGGGATGGGGACTCACTCCCTTCCTTGGGCAGCCCCTTCCATAGGACCCTCGGTGAGACAGGAGAAGGTAGCGTGGGTTGGCATCACCCACAGCCGTTCAATGCAGTCCCCTCAGTTCTTGATTTTATTTCTCAGCTGGTCATCCGGATGCTGATCTAGAGCATGGGTGTCGTGATTAAAGTGTTCGAGCAACCTCCTTGCTTTTCTAGGCACTGGGAAAACAGTTGTTGGAATTCACATTGTCTACTGGTTCCATAAGCTGAACGAGGAGAGCGTCGAGAAGGAGCAAACACCACCCTCTGAAGAAGAAAAGCCTAAGGGGAGAAAGTGCATCTTGTACTGTGGCCCATCCAACAAGTCTGTCGATGTTGTTGCTGGTAAGTATTGGTTTCAAGCCCCTGGAGCAGCTTGTGGGGGGGAGAACACGTGGCCGTGAGCGGGAGGCTGGGAGATAGGAGCTGCATAAAGCCAGGCTGGTCCTTACAGAAGAACGGGAGACAGGAGCCGCATAAAGCCAGGCTGGTCCTTATGGAAGACCCTTCACTGCAGGGCAAGGACCAGTAAAGGAGGGGTTGACGAGCAAGGGGTGGGGAGAAGAGGCGAGTGCACAGCGAACGCCGGGCACCTCACAGGCCGTGGGCTTTCTCGGCATCACCAGTGCCTGGTGCTGTCTGAGTAGACCTGTTCTCCTTCCCCAGAGCTGCTGCTGAAGGTGAAGAACGTGAAACCACTGAGGGTTTACGGGGAGGCCATTGAGACGATGGAATACCCATACCCGGGGAGCAACCGGCACCTCTATCGCAAAGCCTTGCGGGATTCAAAACCAAAGCATGAGCTCAGGTAGGACCACATGGCCCCGCAGGCTCTGCCCGCCCCGGGGAGCGGTGTTTTCTGCACCAATAAAGCTGAACAAGCCAGAGCAAATGTGGTTTCCACTCCACTATTATGGAGCAGCGCTATTCACCTGCTTTGTACTTAATTTTGTCAAGCACAGGTGTGTATTTAGTCTGACGTAGCAGCTTGTCAGGAAACCCAGGTTGTCGAAAACATCCTAGATGTTTTCATCTCCCTTTTGAACAGCTCTGAAAGTCTCAGGCTTACTAAGTGTTAGGTCCATGAAGATGGAAAAATCTGACTGGGGCTTCTTCAGCTAATGGGGTTTCACACAGACAGGTGTGGTTGCTTCACTGTAGAGGAGATCACTTGGGTCTCTGTGGGTGGAAAATATTTATATGTTGGCTCTTTACTCAGCAAAATAATCCTGCATCATCGCATCCGACGGCCGCCCAACCCTTTCTGGCAGGATATCTGCAACTTTGACACCCGGGTGAAGAAAGGAGAGCAGATAACAGAAGAAGAAACAAAGGAGTGAGTAAAAAGGGGCCCTGGTGAGAGATGGCTGCCTTTGGCCACGTGCCGCCTCTGAAGCACTGCCCAAAGGAGCACCATGCAGCCACCGCCTCCCCCTGCCAGGAGGGGTTTGGGCTGCACTTGCTGGGTCGCAGCCGACACAAGCTGGGAGACTGCGTGGAAGTCAGCGGACTTGCCCTGGCTCACGCCAGCCAAGGGGCTAGCTGAAAATACCCAGGCAGATTAATAAGCTGTGTGTTTGGGATGATGATAAAAAGTGGTGAAAAAAAGCTCGGGGTGAGTGATACAGCACAGAGCCTCAGCACCACCTCTGCGTCCTATTGCGCGTGCGTGCTGCTGCAGCCCCCGCCCCGAGCCCCTGTCCTGTTGAGTGCAGGACAAAGCACGTTTCCTACAGTGTCCATCCAAAGCCCTTTTCTGGGCACACTGGCTCATCCTGGGGAGGGAGATAGAGCCGTAATAGTTTGGGAAGGTATAGCCTCTGCCTGGTTTCTGTGTGAGGAACCCAGAGATGTTTCCCTTCTGCGTAACCTGGTGTCTCCTGCATCGACCACCAGGTACAAGAATCAGTTGTCATCTGCTCGTGCGTATGAACTGGCACGCCATGATGTCATCCTGTGCACGTGCTCCGCTGCATCTGCCACCCCCCTGGAGCACCTCAATGTCAAGCAGATAATCATTGACGAGTGTGCCATGTCCACAGAGCCTGAGACCCTCATCCCCTTGGTCAGCCACCGCCGTGCTGAGAAGGTAAGTCCCTTCCAAAGATGTGTCTCTGGGACGGCTGCTCAGGGCTCTCGAACCTCTGCCTGTCTGTCGCCCCTCACTGTGCTGCTCTTCCAAGTTTTACCAGGTTTTAAGGTTGTTCTTGGTACTACCTCTGATGGGGTATCAATGTTTCAGCCTTCAGGGAGCTGTTTCCCTTGAGGTATAACTCTCCTAACAATAACTAAAATCTTGAGGCACAGAGAGGTACATGCGGTGCGTAAGTATTCTCCCTAGATGCAGGAGCTGCACGTTATCTGTTCATATCGCGTAAAGCAGAGCCGTAAGACCTGCTGTAGGCCTGAAAGCCGTGGTGGTGAACTTTTGCATCTGCTTGCCCCTCTGCTGTGCGTATCAGCTTGGCTCTTCGCCTTCAGCCAGTTACGCCCATGCACCGTCCTCTAAACTTGCTCTTGGCTTTCTGCAAGAGAAAACAAGCAGTGGTGTGGCTGGATTTTTGGTGCTTCTTTACAGAAGGGTGGGTATCGCTGCCACCAAAAAATGTGCTGACCCAGGTTCAAAGTATTAACGTGACAAGGAGCACAGAGCAGATTTGCTACCTGATGTCTTTCTCCTGCCAGATGGGAGCAAGGCTCTGCGTTATCTGGGTCAGGATCTTTATATAATGCCCAACGTGGTCCTTGATTGAGGTTGCTACAACCATAACATAAATAAGTAGCAACCAATGCCTGTGTGCAAACAGCCTGTTGAAGAGCTGATCACCTTCCCCAGTGCCACCACGCTCAGAGCTGAGGTGTCCACTCTTCGTTCCAGGTTGTTTTGCTTGGGGATCACAAACAGCTGCGGCCTGTGGTCAACAATGACTTCTGCAAGAGTCTTGGCATGGAGACATCTCTCTTTGAGCGCTACCGGAATCAGGCGTGGATGCTGGATATGCAGTACCGCATGGTGAGGCCTTCCTCGAGTCTTTCCTCCATCACAGAAAATGCTGCTGTCAGGGCTTGCCTCAAGCCACTGGAAAACAGATTTTATTTTATTTTTTTCCATTAGTCCTCTCCTTTCCTAGAGTAATGAATAAAGCACCCGCCCTGAGCCGGCTATAGCGCAGTGGTATTGCCCAAAAAGACGCTGCAGGTCGAGAAGTTCCTTGGGTTTTGTTCATCTCCGTTTCTCCCCTTTTCTCTGCCAGCACAAAAGCATTTGCGAGTTCCCATCCCAGGAGTTTTATGAAACGCGGCTGAAAACATGCCCCCAGCTTCTGCGTCAAGCCAGTGTCTTCTACCACAAAGATAACGGCTGCTGCCCTATCATCTTCGGGCATGTGGAGGGGAAGGAGCAGAGCCTCATGATTTCTACCGAGGAAGGAAACGAGAACTCCAAAGCGAACCCAGAAGAAGCGGAGCAGGCGGTGAGGAGGGTCCTGGGGAATTGCCGAAGTTGCAGAAGGGAGGGTGTTGTGCTGGGTGACTCTGGGGATCGTGGAGGGATGATGAGTAGCGACATTGGGTAAAGACCAGTGGGGTGCAGTGGGTTCCCTCTGGCCCCCGCTCGCAGGTGAACGGGACCCCGGTCTCTCCCCAGGTGAGGCTGGGGAAGCAGCTGACACTAGATGGCACCATCTTGCCGGAGAGCATCGCCATCCTGAGCCCCTACAATGCCCAGGTATCCGAGATCAAGAAGAGCCTCATGAAGGAAGGCATGAGCCGAGTGATGGTCTGCACCATCATGAAGAGTCAAGGTGAGGCTGGCAGGAGAGGGTCGGGTCGGTTCTCTCCTGCCTTCCTGAGGACTGAAGCAACCTCTCACAGAGGCAGTCTTCGAGCAAATCCTACACCAGGCTCGTTTTAGCCATGGAGGAACCATCTCTGGGCCAGATTTCTGGGGGATTTGTGATTATAATAAATCCTTTAGAAACCTCTGGAGTGCCCAGCAGGGTGAGACGGCTGAAGACAGGAGGGTGGAGGATGTCTGGAGGGGGTGTTAAAGAACTGCTGAAACCCGTGCTCTTTGGAGGGCAATGACCAGGAGTCTGGTGGCCTCCAAAGCTGGAGAAACCCGAGCGGTGGCTGCAGTTTTGTGGGTCTTGCTGTAGAGAAATGAGCGTCTCGTGGGGTGGAGGGGTGGCCAGGTGCTTCCTTCTAAAACAATCCGTTTCAATTCTGCTTTCTAGGAAGTGAGTGGAGATACGTGATCCTGTCGACTGTACGCTCCTGCCCCCGATCAGAGATTGATATGAAGCCCACGAAGAGCTGGCAGAAGAAGTACCTGGGGTTTGTTACCGACCCAAACCAGGTCAACGTCGGCATCACGCGAGCTCAGACAGGGCTCTGCATTTTAGGTGGGTCTCCTGGGAGCGTGCACAGGCCTGCAGGGGAACGGGATGCTTGGGTAAAGGGGTGGAGAGCCAAACTCGTACAACCGATGGTTTTGCTTTATTCTTCTGCCCTTTAGACTGTGGTTTTGAGACTGGGCTACCTGTGCGATCCGTGCGAAGCAGAGGTTGTGCGTGGCTTGTATGCAGCATGTGTAATTAGTTTTTCTCACCCTCTGGTTCGGACCACGTTGTTTCCATCACTTACATGCCAGAGCTCTCTCCTAACAGAATTTGGCTGCTTATTTCCCTCCCGGTCACGCGGGCGTAGGCTGTGGTGTGCAGGGGAGCTGCTCGCAGATACAACGGCACTGAGAAGGGAGCTGGGATTCCACAGAGCTCTGGCTGAAGGGAACGTCCCTGCAAGTTACCCAGCACCGCTAGGCTAGAAATGTTAGACAAAAGTTTCTGTGCTGGTGTCGGCCGAGCCTCTTCTGGCCACTAACCCGCTGCCCCCATCCCTGTGCCAACAGGGAACCGGTACCTCCTGGAGTGCAACCCCTTGTGGAGGAGACTGCTTCAGCATTACAGACAGCGCAACTGCTACGCTGCAGCCCAGGGGATCCTTGTCAGGAAGACTCCAGCCTTCCACTAGTGACCGTGGGTTGTACCTCGACGAGCTCGTCCCTCTCTGCCTGAGCTGCGTTACTGTGCCTCGGGAAGGACGCCATCTCTCCGTTGCTTAATGACCCAAGGAGCCAAACGCAGTGGGGGAGCCAGGACCTTCCCCTGCCCGGTGACAGCTCAGCTTCAGTGCGTGCTTTGGCATCTTGGGGGGTTTAATCAGTGCGACCTCGGACTTTCAGCTCTAGCAAACCAAAAAGCATTGGAAATGGATGGATGTGACTTTGATGATGCTATTTTTTTAACTGTTAAGATGCTCAGCGGAGCCACCATCCCATCTGCCAGTGCAGCTGCGTGTTGGGGACCAAACACTCAGTCCATCCGTCGGGGGCGGAATGACTGCACGCAACCGAGCCGCGCGGCAAGCTGCGGCTTGCCACAGAGGACCAAAGCTTCTGAGTGCTACCACTCATTTTTAAATCAAGGCCAGGGAATTTTTAAGGCTTCTTGTTTCTCAAAGCGGAAAACCAATTCTTTTTTTTTGTTTTTGTTTTTTGTTGTTGTTTGGGGGTTTTTTAAGCGAAGGAAGACAGCAAAGAGGGGGCCACGCACCGCTCTTTGTCTCGCCCAAACGCTGTTCTCTGAGCGTGTAAATACCACAGAGCCAAGGCCAGGTTGATTTTGTAAATAGATTTACTTATTTGTACAAAGGAGGTTGTCCTCAGCACTATAAAGTTACTGAAAAGCGAGGACCAGGAAACGTTGGAAATTGTAAGCATATTTTAAACTGTCTTAAGTCTTATTTGAAATCTCCTCCCGTAAAAGCCCCCCTTATTTTTTTAAAGCTGCTTCTAATTTATTAACTTTTAACTCTGTGAATTTGTTTCAGTCTTATGGCCTGAGTTTTTTAAGAGCGGTGATAGAGATTTGATCAATGTGCCACAGCATATATGTGTATACTGTATATTTTTTTTAATTATTTTTTTTAATTTTAAGGAGCCAAACTGCTGTGAACTGGAAGCTGTGATTCACTAGAGACGGCTGCTTTGCCCGGTAGCGCGTGGCGGGTGCAGATGCATGGCGGCGAAGCGGTGCGCTCTGCTGAATCACGGGGCTGCTTCTCGAAGCGTGGTCGTTTTGCGGGAGGGGTGTCTTTTATCTCATTTCAATTCTGAATGTATTAAGTGCCTGCCTCAGCTCTCCCCGGGACCACGCGCTTTAGGCTGGCTTTAGGTGTTCACGGGGGATGGAGCCAAGACAGAGGCAGGGTGGTTTTGCACCAAGGATATACTGTGCTGGGCCACGAGTCCTCCTTGGCGGGAGCGAGGGGTGCCCGTGACTCCGCAGGCGCTATGGCAGGGATGAATTTTTTCCTGTGTGTGCAACTGAAAATGCGGCAGGGGTTTTCCCCCGGGGGGGGAAGTGGAATAAGGGGTGTCGTCGTGTGTCGCGTCCTTAGTTAACACTGGGTTTCTTCTCATGCCTCTGTGTTAGGCTTGACTCGTGAACCTATGGATAGAATTCGGTTGTACTCTTCCTTAGTTTAAACTGCCTTCCCGCACTTCTGCGTTGGGTGGGTTTGATCTGTACGGTAGGGACCGCCCAGGCTTTCTCTTGTCTGACCAAAGCACAGTAACAGGCGTGTGGCTGGCGATGCCACGAGGGACAAAGCCCATGGGAAGTACCACCACCTCCCAACGGTTCTAACGGTGCTTGGGAAAAGCTGGTAAGACGTTCCTTGTTCCCCTTTGAAGTCCTCCTGGCTTGGACCTTAAAAGATCCTGTGTCAGCCTGATTTTGCAAATATTAATTGCATTTCCAAAGTAAGCTTGCATGGGAATTATTTTGTGGACTACTGAAATGCAGCCACGGCTCGCCAAGATGACCTGGAGAGCTGCAAGGGATGCTGGAATTGGGATAAATACTTGAGTGTGGTGCCAGCATCACTCCAGAAAGCCATCTTGGTCCCTTTAGAACCAGCGGGGCTCCTTTTCATGATCTAATGTGAGTGTAGTGTTTCTCCCCTGTTGTTTTTTTTGCTGGTTATTTCATGACAGGTAACACAAACGAGGAGCCTCGCCCCACCTGTGGTGGCTCAGCCCAATGCTCTCGCGTGGGGTTTGGCCATGGGTTTGTATAGACCAAGGAGGAGACCTCACAGAGTGTCTCCCTTTCCCCTCCGTGGGGAGAAAATGTTTGCCGTCACTCCTCGGAGGGTAAAGCCTAGCCAGAAACGCTTTGCTTGGGCGCCTCTGCGTTGCAAGGCAATAGAGAGTTCTTTTTTTTTTTGCTCTGAAGATGCATTTTGTAACTGGTGTTTAGAAAACGCTGCCCTAGAGCACCCAAGCGGCAGCAACAGCCAGGCTGGGCTCTTGGGCTGTTTGGGCTGTGAGCAGGTACTTGTAGAGTTGGTCGTGCAGCTGCAATAGTCAGGGATAGCAGAAAGTGCAATTAATTAAACTTTTTATAGACTGTTAGTGACAGCCGGATATCGCGTTCTTGTCCTTGTGCTCATGGATAAGGAGAATCGTAGAAATTAATAGAGAAAGAGAAGTTCAAAGCAGTCTGGTTTCATTTGCACACAGAGCTTTGAATTTACTTTTGAAAGAGTTTTCTGTTCAAGCACATATTCTTAAAATACTTGTTAAAAAAACCAAACAAGAAACAAAGCCACCAAACCTTTGGCAAGCCCAGTGGGAAACCACTGGCAGCAGGGCACACAGGGTACCTGCCCGACCGCCGGCGCTACGTTGCCCGCGGCTCACTGACAAAAGAACGGCGTTGCCGGCCGCGAGTGCCGGCTCATCCAAGAGGGCGACTTCATCGCCTCAGCACCAGCCAGAGCCTGCGCCCAAGCCAGGGTCCGTGTGGCTGCAGCCGTCACCCTGCACCCTGCTCGGCCTGGCAGTGAAAGTGCAGACACCCAAAATGGGGGGGACCCTCTCCTTGGCCCCAGCTGGCAAAGGAGATGCCCACGGGACTGGTTTTGAGGAATTTGGACAGATCTGGGCAGGACAATCAATTTACTGCAATAAATTGTTGCATTGTTTGTTTTTTTTTTAAATAGAAATGAAATGCTAAAGCATCGTGAAGTGTAAATTAAGGAACTTTAAAGGTGGCAGGTTTTTATCTTTTCTATGTCTGTGACTTGCAGCAAACCTCAGATGATGTTTTGGATACAAATATTTTTACCTGCTTCTACCGTTTATAAGAATGAACCTCAACATTCCTTTTTTTGATATGAAAGCCATAATTGTAAAAATGATTTGAATTTATTTAAAAAATAAATTTTATTACTGAAAGGTCTGTTTACCTGGTGGCTTGCCGAGAACGCCTGTGGGGAACAGCTGTATTTGGACCGAACCAAATGGTAAAGGTGAGCATTAACGGCAGGGTAGGGCAGAAAAGACGGGTTTGGTGTGTTGGTCATGGGGATGCGTTACTCTTCCCATGGATGGATTGCCCTTCCCTGGTGAGCATGAAATCATGCTTGGGACCCTATAAGGCACAGGGTGTAGGGGGTGAGCGGAACCAGAGGTGGAGGTAAGTTAGGGCGAGCAATTTGAAGGGCTTAGAATCACGGAATCACAGAATCGTTTGGGTTGGAAAAGTCCTTCAAGATGTTCCCCTACCCCTGCCATCCCACCACTAAACCCTGTCCCTAAGCACCTCGTCTGCCCGGCTTTTAAATCCCTCCAGGGATAGGATTCAGTGCAGGTGTTTTGGAGGAAGGACATGGGGAAAAAATAATTTGGGGTAAAAACCCCAAAACATCATTGCAAGAAACTGGCACTGGGCATCTTTTGGTGGATGGAAAGCACCGGATGATGGGGATGCTTCTCTCTCCTGTGCTTTGCACCCGAGGTGTCCTGCAAGCCTGCCTGCTCCTCGCTGCGCCCGCCCGTGGGTTGTGGCAGGGGGAGTGAGCATCGAGTCCTGACTGCTGCCCAGGATGCTGGGTTGCGTGAGAAATTTGGAGTGGGTTACTGTTAACCTGGGAAGAGCCGGGGAAGGCGCTGCTTGTTCTTGCTGAAAACAGAATGTGGTCAGTTTTACACAAAATGCTTTAAAAATAAGGTTTACCTTTAATTTTTCTCATTCATCTTTTTCAAGTGGATAAAATGAGAAAAACGTTCTCGCGTGCCCCTTCAGCCTTCTGGTGCACAAGCGCTGCTCTCCGCGCCCTCAGTAGCGTTCGGTTTTGTCTTCAGTGTAATGCTGTCGTGCCATTTTCTGAAGACAACCGTTTGCAGTTCTGAGCGTCTAATGGTGAATTGGTAGGATCTGCCAGGCTGCAGGTCCTGGACCACGCAGGTGTTGGAAGTGACTTCCTGACACCTACCGTATCCCACTTCTCTCTGACTCTCATTTGTCAGTAACTTCACGCACAGTTCATATTTTTCAAAGTGTGACTCCTGATTTTCGGTAAACCACGTGAGCTTGGCCCAGTCCTTGTGTGCAAATGATTCCTTTCGATCAAAAATCAGCGGCATCTTTGTACTGATGGAAAGCTTGATGTTGAGGAGTCGTGAACCTCGAAGACCTTCGTGCGACACCAACCACTGCTTGACGTAGAGCTTTCCTGGCGCTTGCAAGGAAAGGAACGTTCCCATAAACTCGGTGAGCTTGGACAGTTTCTGCACCACCAAGTCCCACTGGGAGAGGAAGGTTACCGCGTCACAGGTCTCTACGTAACAGCTCAGCTCCTCCCAGCCTCGTTCCATCTGCTGTAACAGCTCGGTTAAGAGCGACAGCTGGATTTCAGTCTGGTTTTTTCCCATCTTCTTCAACCTCTGGAATCGGCAGGGGTCTATTAGTTCCAAGATGTCAGTGCGCTGCATCACGTGGTTCTGGTTTCTGACGGTCACGTGTTTGGGCTCAATCTCCAAGTAAAAGTAACACTTCTTCAGAAGCTCGAGTTTGTTCCAGTAGTGCTGGAGGTGGTGGAGGCTCAGGTCGCAGTGCAGGAACTGCAGAACAAGGTTTCTCCTCTCCAAGTACCTCTCCCAGGTGGCATTGCCTTGGTGGGCTTCGCCATGCTCCGCGCTCTCCAAACTGGTTTCAAATTCATTCAAAATCACAGCCATGATTCCAAAGCTCAGTTGCTGTGTAAGAAAGCAGCAAGAATAACGTTAGGAACCAAAGGAAAAGCAGCTCTGAGGGAGTACAGTCGTGGCTGGGACTCTCCTCTCCTCTCCTAATTAAAGCTTAGCGTATAAACGTATAGATGGGAAAGAACTGGCAGACGAGGTGCAGTTCCAGAGGCATTTTCCCTTAGAGTTGTACAGTTCTTAAGGTTTTGTATAGTCTACTTCTATACATTCCAGCCAACTGGTCTCCCGCTGCCCCCCCTTGAGAGGTTCTACCTCTGCTTAATAGATTCACTGTCAGGAGCGATGCTCTGACATACTCCACCAAAATCTCTCCCTATCTTATTATCTTCCGCTTCATTCTAATTAGATGCCTTTGTACTCCTGTAAGCAATTTCTTTCTATTCTTCTCCATCTCTGGAGATGTCTATTTTTCTCTCTTTGTAATCTGCCAGGCTGCTGAGGTTTGAGACCCAGCTTCTAAGCCAGTTCCTACAGCTTCGTAATCACCTTGGTGATTCAAATTAACCCTCTGCCCCCCAAGCGAGCTGGTACGCAGCCGGCAGAACCACGCAGCGCCCGAGCGCTGCCTCGCAACAGCTTTCCGGAGGAACGCTGGCGTTCTTTCTTGTGCCGCTTTCTACCTTCAGCGGCCGATGGACAGTCATAACCTGACAACGTTTTCAGTGATGTACGGCTTTCCCTTCCTTTGGTTTTAGTTTACATCATCACCTTGGCCCATGATACCTACTTGCTTTCTTGTAGAAGAGCGCTGTGAAGTCTATAAACAATGTACAGTAAGAGACTGAAACACCCGTAAAGCACCTGTGAACAGATTAACGGTTTGGGGGTAAGCGGGAGCGGGCCTTTGCGACGCCGTATCTGCTCTCTTAGCCTTAGCTCTGTCATTTACTGACGACGCCGTGCCCTGGTCGGTGCCTGCTGAGCCACGATGGAAGGTGTCCCTCTGGGGTGCTTTAGCTGAAGCAACCTGCGGCGCACGCAGCTTATGTGTCACCAACGGAAGGTCGCTAAATAAATGCCGGTGTCCCTGTTGCTGGTGACATTTTGTAAGGAGGACCCAGCTTGACGTGGAGAACGTGGCTTTCACCAGCTCAACGTGCTTGATTTGAAAAAAGAAATACGGAATTCTGAAAGCACGGCTTTGTGAGCCTGGGCAGCCCGCGATGACACCCTCCAGCAACAGGTAACGCTCCTCGTTCTGTGTAACTTTCTGGGGATAATTATTTAAGTGCTTGTAGTACCTAACTGGGATATCTGAATTCCTACACGTCTGGTAGAAGCTAGATGGTGGTTTCTCGCTGACAAAGCATTTTCTCTTAGCTTCATTTTCCCTAAATACGTAACAGGACCGGCAACACATCCCTGCAGGGAATTTCAAGCGGTTGTAAACCTTTCAGATGGCTGGCCCCTAGCTGCACAATCTATCCCAATCCACTCATTCGCAGCAACTTTCTCTCCAAGAGAGAGCTGTCAACTTAAAAAAAAAAAACCCAAGCTGTATTTCCCTTTCACTTTTTTTTTTTTCCTTTCCACAAACAGTAATAAACCCCCTAAACCAGAGCGGTGCCAGCTCCTGGCATCCCCGTATGGAGCGCGCCAGGGACAGCACATGCACCAGGTTACGTTACCCCGCCTTCCCCGCGATTTGGCTCTCCAGAGCCGTTTGTTTGCCCACAGACGGAGCTGTGAGTGCGCCTGTTTTCCCTTTCTGTTTTTACATCCCCTTTTTCCTTGCCAGAACCGGCTGCCTTCCCAGCGGCGCCCCGATGGTTGCGGCCTGGGAGGCTGCAGTTTGCACAAGCTGGGGGCTGCGCGGCCCCGGGCTCACCCAGGCCAGGGCTTGGGTGGGTGGAAGGGGGCACCCATGGAA